CATGAATGCAGAGCTCTTCACATCCATAAGTAAGAACTTACACGGGCATAATTTTCAAAGCTCTTAGAGCATTGTCGCTCATATTAGAAAGTTTCTTTCGATGAAAACAGAAATTTTTCGAATGCGAAACTAAAATCGATAAACCCAAAGAAAAATCCACATGCCTTCTATTAGGGTATGGTTTGATTGTGGTGGAAGTCGCTCCTCAACTCGCGTCCTAAGATTTTGATACTCCTCTTCGGACTAGGTCCCAGTTCGCTGCTAAGAAAAAGTTTCATGTTGTGTTGCATCCTTGTTAATGTCGTCCGCACATGTGGTTGAGAATTTATCCTCTTGGATGCTCTCGACAAAGATTGAAATAAACTTGTTAGTAGAAACTGTAATTGAAAAAAGTGGTAGCATCTCTTACGATGCTTTTTCAGTTACTCTTGCTGTGAAAGATGTCACATAAGTATGTTCAGTATATGTCTGCGCACTCAAAGTAAATAATTAGTAGACATAGTGCCGCTTTAGTTAGCGATTTATATAAAAAAAATAAAGAAAGATCACTCATGTAATAAAAGAGTATATCTTTACGGATAAGCATAAACATCTTTTCAACTAGATGAAAAAATAAAGAAGTATTGAGAGTAAAAGATAATGGATACCGTTTTCGAACACAGTATGTCCATTCCAACTCATGATTTGCTGAGAATTTGGAGATGTCATTGCTTGTTTTCTGCATGGCAAACTCCGGTGATCTTTGTAACGAGCAAAATGACTCAATGATTATCCAACTGTAACGAAATGGATGGCTCAATGATTATCCAACTGTAACGAGGTGGATGACTCGATAATAGTCCAACTGTAACGAGGTGGATAACTCGATAATTATCCAACTGTAATGAGGTGGATGGCTCGATGATTATCCAACTATAACGAGGTGGATGGTTCGATAATATTCCAACTGTAACGAGGTGGATGGTTCGATGATTATCCAACTGTAACGAGGTGGATGGTTCGATGATTATCCAACTGTAACGAGGTGGATGGCTCGACGAATATTCGTTCCTCAACTTGCGCTAAGGAAAAGTTCCACATTGTGCTGCATCTTTTCTGATGTCGTCTGCACCTGTGGTTTGATTTGAGAATTCATCCTCTTGGATGTTCTCGACAAGGAATGAAATAAACTTGTTAGCAGAAACTATAATTTAAATAGAGAAGTGATACATTTTACCGTATTCAACAAATGTTATTTTCTATAAATGTTGTGGCGTTAGTCTTCATCGGTTTTGACGCAGTAGATGATGACTTGTTATGATGTGGATGACGATGCTTCATTGATAGGATGATGATGATCCACTGGTAGGATAACACTGATACATAATAAGATGATGATGTCGATGCTCCATTGATAGGATATGTTTGATAATCCATCGGCGGGATGATGTTGATGCTTCATTGATAGGATGATGATGCTTCATTGATGTTCCATTGGTAGGATGATGTTGATCCATTGGCAGGGTGATGTTGATCCGTTGATAGGATGATAATGATTCGTTAATGATCCATTGGTAGGATGATATTGATCCATTGGCAGTATGATGTTGATCCATTGATAGGATGATGATGCTTCGTTGATGATCCATTAATAGGATGATGTTGATCCATTCGGAAGGATGATGATATTCCATCGATAAAATGACGATGATGTCCTTCTCGGTGGTGGTACTATCTCATTTGATAATACTGTAGAAATGTCCCTCTGGGTGGTCGTATTATCTCATTTGATAATACTATAGAAATGTCCCTCTGGAAGGGTTTCACATTACCGCGTCTGATATCGACGCGATTTGTGAATTTTCTTCAAATGTTCTTGATGCTGAAAAATGTAATTTGATGTCATTGTAGATGCTTGTACATGTTGAGAGTGATGTTTTCACTTGTTCATAGTTGAACATTTGTACTCATTGTGACTCATGCTTTGCTGGGAATTTGAACGAGGTGTTGTTGCTCATATTTTGAACTGTTTCTTTTCTTATGAAAAACTGCAACGACTTTCCTGCATCCACATAAAAGTTGTCAATTTTGAGGAGCTCCTCGCCCTTTTGACTTCTCTATATTCATTGAATGAAGGAATAAAATGATCTTGAGGCAAACTTATAGATCTGCATTAACAAAAAAATTGTTAGTTTTTAAAACAAACTGATCTGTGTTGAGTTATTCAGTCACATGCTTTTTGTCTTGCTATCTCCGATTGATCACTTTGATCTCTTGCTTCTCGATAGACATAAGATGAAATTATACGAAATGTTTGACATATCAAAGTCTAAAAAAAAAAAATTCAAAAATCAACTTGGGAAAGATCACTGTCAAATGTCATGTCATGCATAGCTTAGATGAACGTCCTTGGTTCAAAACTTTGGTGTGTCCGATAGATTGTTCTGGAGAATTCAAAAATCCTTAAAGCTTGGGAAATTTCTGACACAGTCCTCCCGAAATCTGCTATAATTGGAAGGTTTTGCAGTTGACTCTGAAATCCAAAGGTGTCGAAGATTGGCAGTTGACTATGAACTTTAAAGATGCCAAATATCATTTGAAGTTAGCTTTAAACTTCTAATATGCTTAAAATTTTTTTTGAGGTCATCCTAAAATTTTTTGTCCCGGTTAGATGTCTTGGGGTATCTCGAACTGTTGATATATGGCTTGTAGAATTTTTAAGACCCTCTCAAAAATTCTGTCCCAGTTGCGATTCTAAATGTATCTTTAGTCTTGACTTGTTGTAGAGATCCTCTTCTTGAGAATTTTTTAGTCCCTCTCAAATATTTTGTCCCAGTTTCTGTTGTAAAGGAAAAAATAGAAATCTTATGAGAGATATGACTGAGCCGTTGTGGCGCCTACGTATCCCGTTGATGTAGGAATCAGGTCAAACGTAGTTCCTCCCTCGAGAATTAACAAAAATAGGAAATTTATAAAGAAACCGATCGAGGCCGACATAGGCTGCCTACGTATCTCATTCTTGAGAATTCAGGTCGAATGTAGTTCAAATACAATAGGGAAATATTGAGAATATATGAAGGGGTGACCGAAGCCGACAAAGGCCGCCTACGTTTCTCATTCTTGAGAATTCAGATCAGACGTAGTTCATTACAAAGGAATTTCTTTTTTAACTATAAAACATAAGACATCTACAAGCAAATGATGAGATTATAGGGAAATAAATAAAAGAAACTCTGAATCTTCAAAAATAATAGCTCTTGATAGGATCTGAGTCGATTGACAACTTGAGATGAATGTCTATGTTCAACCACGACGTGTGATCAAACAATTGCATTGATGTATTTTCTAAGTAAACTATTAGTTCTCATTTCCGAGGTTTTCTTAGATGGACCCTGATTCTGACTTCCTTGACACAGTAATTCTTTTCTAGATTTACAGTTTCTGTCTCACCCAGATTCGACTTATCCGGATTCTCGAACTGTTTCAATTCTTTGGCAATGTGCTTGAACATCATGATCTCCTCGTCATACTCTTTCAAAGTCATCTTCACAAACTCATCTTCTCCTACCTTATTTTGTTCACTCAGCTTGTGATATGATATGATATTGACAGGATTAAAACTATTTTTACTAAAACAAAAAGATTGTTAGATAGTAAAATTAAAGCAAGTAAAATAAATTTTCGCAATAGAAGAGGCTTTAATTGAAAACAAGAAAATACGAACTTTAGCCATGACCATGAGCCATTTTGCCTTTTTCAAAACATTACGAGGGAAATTAAAACATCATTAGGTAAAATAACACAAAAGGTGGGTTTCGGGCCTTACTCGAACTACCCCTGACTTTAGAAATAGCATAAGATTTATCTTTGTCTATCAAGATGAACGAGGAATCAAGAGTGGAGTGAAAGTCCAATTAAGAACTTGCTCCATTGGCTCGGCGTCTCGTATGCCTAGTGTCTCGATCATCTTCTTGGGTACAACATCACCTTCTTCAAAAAGATTCTCAATTCCTTCTCCAAGACCGTCATCATTGGCATATGCCTCTACTAGAAAGGATTAGCGTAAATGAGGAAAAGACTTTGGTGGAACATGATTAATCCCCTTTTTGTTCTGACCCTCTCTTGACACAGAAGCAAAAGCTTGATGGGGGTCATGCTCGTAAAATTGAGTTTCTCACTTATACTCAGAGAAGCTACAACTTTCTCAAGGTTAACAGGACCAGACGGAACTATCGCGTTTACCATGCACCACTCATCCTCCGTCTCTATCATATTGATAGTGACGCCTCCATGGTTTTGCAGAGGATTACTGTTGACGTTGGGTACAACGGTCCTGACCACTTTCTGGTCGATCAAGTTTTGGATCATGTGCTTCAAATTAATATAGTCTTCAGTATCATACCCAACACTATTGGAGTGATACGCACACCTTCGATCGACTCGGTAAAATCTAGAGCTAGTATCGACTGGCTTGGGCTTGACCGGATGAATAATATCTGATGCACTCAATTGCTCAAATAACTTCGTCTAACTTTCAATGAGAGGAGTAAAATTTTGAGCAGGTTTCTTCTCAAGACATGGACGAGAGGGATCATAACTGCATTGCTGAGAGGGAGGCATTTGACAATGATATGGGGCGTTTTGACGAGGAGGTGCTTGAGACTTTGGGTCAATAATGTTAATAGTGAATCCTCCATGATTCCACAATGAATCATTATTGGCATTGGAAGTGACAGTTTGAAGAGTGACAATTCTTTGATCAATCAAGTCTTGAATTTTATGCTTCAAGTTGATGCAATCCTCAATGGTATGTCCAGCACCTCCTAAATGGTAAGCACAATGAAGATCGGGCCTGTAAAGTCTAGAATTGACATTGATAGTTTTTGGATCAATTGTTCGTATCAGACCAGCCACTTTCAATCTCTCAAAGAGTTGGGTTCGATTTTCAACCAAAGGAGTAAAGACTCGAGAAGGTTTCTTCAAAAACTCTTGACAAGAAAGATTGTAATTATTTCGTGAAGATGGAGGTACTTGGCGGTAACTGGGAGGATTTTGGCGAGTATGTGCTGGTGTTTGGAAATTTTGGTATTGTGAAGCATGGTAGCTATGATGGGCATTTTAGTAATTTGACAAAGAGACTTGATAACTTGATTGAACATTTGGGTAATTTGGCAATGGAGCTTGGTAATTTGGATGATTTGGTGGTGGAGTTTGGTAATTTGGTTTGATGGGGTAAGGATTTTGTGGAGCTAAAGGGTAGATTTTGGATGGTAAAGGCTTTCGAACATTAAGATTGACATGCCTCTTTGATTTTTGGCTCGATTCAAATGAGATAGAGGAAACATCTTCCCTTTTCTTTCTTAATGGTCCCGATGATTCATCTTGGGGAGTCATTCAGATGATTTTTCCAGTCTTCAGGCCGTCTTAAATAGCTTTACCAATTTTGACTATCTCACTGAACTTTCCTCCTAAAATGAGCAACATCCTAATGTAATACTCGGGCTCTTGATTGCGCACAAAAACTTCGATAATTTCTTTCTCGGTCATGGGAGGCCTAACCCTTGCAACCTCTCTTCTTCAATGGTAGGCATACTCTCGATAACTTTCAGTAGAATTCTGTTTGATTCTCTCCAAAGAGTATCGATTTGGAACGAATTCTACATTATAACCAAATCTTTCAATGAAGTTTTTAGCCAAAGCGTTCCAACTTGGCCACTGCTTGATTTCTTTAGAAATAAACTATTCCAAAGCTTCGACTAAAGAGTCACATTAACAGAGCTTCATCTCTCCCTACTCCCACAAGTTGGTCACAATAAGCCCTCAAATGAGTCAAAGGATTTTCAACTCCACTAAAAGTGTCAAATTTTGGTACTTTAAAATCTTCTGGAAGCTCCAAATGTGGATGATGACACAAATCTTCATAATTCAGCCCCACAATGTCTGGGGTGTATTAAAAGTCCTTCATTGCATTCATGATTTCCTCACTGATGCCTTGCTCAACCTTTCCTTTTATGACATTCCACTCCTTCTCCTTCTTCTCACAATCATCGAGTTCAAAATGTGTGGTAAATAGAGGGTATGATTCTGGCGATATTGAAATATGAAAGGAAGTTTTTAAAGGAATGGGTTGAGTGGTAGATGGATTTTGGACAATTTGAGTAAGGGATTGATGAACCGAAGGAAAATTCTGGAAAATGTTAGTACTTGGATTTTGAGGAATATGTAACTTTTGGTGTGATGAGCTAGCATGATGTGGGTTAAGGGTGGTTAAGTGGATGATCGAAAGTTTTGGATTCGTAGCGGTGGACGAATTATTTGGGAAATGGTCAGATGTTGAATCCGAAGTAGGAAAATGGAGTGGAGGCCTTCTGTCGTCTGGAGTAGGAGTGTTGGCAACAATAACGAGATTCGTCAAATCTCGGGTCTTATCCATTTCAGCAATCTGTTGGAACAATTGTGCAATCAACTTGTTCTATTCAGCAATGATATGGTCATTCACAATAATTTCATTCAAATAAGTATTCTCAACATTTTCAACCATTTTCTCTTTGCCTTTGGACAAACATTAGTCGGAGAAGGAATCTTGGGAGTCTTTGGACCTTCTGAAGTATGGGTGTTCAGCCATTTTCTCAACACATATCAGTTTTTAGTACCTGACAAAGAAAAACAACTCAAAGAAAAATGTGTTAGTTTGTGATAAATAATACAAAATATCACAAACGTTATTGTAAACATATAAGAGTTGCTTCGTTTGAAGATAAACTGGCCCCCATATATAGAGAAATGACTAAAAAGACATGAATTTGTCTATTTGATTTTGAGTCTAGTGAATTGAAAACGTCAACTTGAGTCGAGACAAGTTGATTGTATCTTTCATTGTCATATTTTTGATTTTTTGATTGAGATGTAACTCTAATTTCTTTGTGAGAGTTGAAAAAGATAAAATTTCTCAAAAATAGGGACCGAGCCTTGAAAGACTGCCTACGTATCTCACGAGGGAGAATTTAGGTCCTACATAGTTCGACTCACTTGAATCTCTTTCAATTTGAGATGATGAATCTTTTCTGATATGAGAAAGTAAGATGTGAAAAATGAAGTTTAAATTTTATTGGGAAACTTAAGATTCGAAGAGTATTTGGCTGCACTTTTGATAGTGACTTGATATTTGTGCTTAGAGATTTTAAAAATGATTTGAAGAGGAGTGAACTAGACTATCTTCAAATAAAACAACATAATCGCACAAGCAGTTGTAACACATAAACAAATATTGCGTGTTCTGAACAGATATATGACCCTTTTGTGCCAAGGGTAGGCCTAACGATTTGATGGATGTATAACGTCGTTTGAAGCATTCCATTGTCTCAAAACCCAAATATATACAAATCTTTTGAATAAAACTGAAATGGGGTACATAATAGGAAAAATGGATACAAATAGTCAATCCCACACAGGGGTACAATCCTAAACTATGCTTACATGGGCGGTCCTTCTTTTTTATTTCTTGTCATCTCTGAATGTCCACACTTTTGGATGAAATGGTAACTTGATCCTTCTTTGACTCGAACAAACAACTAAACTCCCAGCCCCAAGAAACAATGGTTTGCTAAACACCGTATATATCATTCAAATTTAAACACATAAGTATGATTGTCTTTTTATTGACCAAATGGGCCAAATAGACACAAAGTGGGCTTCTAATGGGGCCAACACGCCTTGGGTGTTAGGTCAACTTAGTTCAAAATGCGCTAAATTTCGAGATTAAGTTTAGCTCTATGCTAGTTGATTAATTGCACGCCTTTTGGAAGATCGGGAACCCAAGCGAACAACTTAGGCTAGAACTCACGACAACTATTGGACATATAAGGAACCAATAAATTATCGATCATTTCGAAAAAGGGTTTAGTATAAAAAAGTCCGGTTGCGGTTCCGCAAAACCGTTCTTTAATATACTATACATACAACAGAAGATGCCATGAATGCAACTGTTTAATATTACGAGAATTTAAACAAATAAACACGTAAACAAACATACATTAGCCAAATAATTTATTTTTAAGATTATAACCCAATTTAATTCCCCAACAGAGTCGTCATTCCGTTTTATTTAAAATAGAGAAATGACGAGGTTTTAAGAGTCGCCATTTAATTTTAAAAGAAAAAACAAGAAAAACTTTTTTTTCAAGAGATTAAAACATGAATCGATGAAAATATCTGAAATGTTCGAGGTTCATATTAATATTTCGGGAATAATTTGAAAGCACCCGAAATGTCCGCTAACACGCGGTTATTAGATAATTAGCTATTTGACTAAAATTTAAAGACAATAAGTATGCTTGACAAGTTTATGAAATATACAAACCTTAAGACTTAAAATCATTTTTTTAGGGAAAGTGAAATAATATAAGGGCATTGCTTAAGTGAAACATCTCAAAATAATTCAAGGAAGAAAACAAGTACTTATTCAATTTTTAGGAAAATATGAGTAGTCAAAAATGGAAATTTTTTGGAGAATATTTTAGGGAAAAACCTTAAAATTAAATAAACACACTAGCATGCAAAGTCAATTAAATAACAGAAGAGAGAAGATGTGGGCCCAAGTTCGGTTTTTGTCCGCCTAGGCCGGTACTTGAGCCTAATCCTATTTTTTAAAGGCCCAACACTTGGTAATTGTCCTGAAAATCTAATTTTGTTTGGCCTTAGGCCCAACTCTTCCACCTGTCCAAAACTCTGACAAGATAATAGTAGATAAGTGGAATTAGACCCAATAATAACAAAATACATTTTCTAGAATTTGGGGGGGATTCTTTGGCCCATTTCCTCACTTCGTATACACTAGGCATACATTAGTGTATACAATCCCGTATATCATCTCCAATTCGTGTTCATCAACCTTTCGGGGTCCGTTTCTTTGATTCCAATGGCTAGCCAACTCGGAAGGAAGTGATTCAAGTTTTTATGGCTTTCTCGAAATGCAAGGGAAAGGTGATAGGAGCTCATAGTGAACTCAGAGAGATTTCACATGCAAACAAAAATAAATAAAATATGTGAGTAACAACTCAATGATTTAATGTAGGAAGATAATGAAAATGATTAATTGCTACTGTCGAAGCGTCATAATGAAAATAAAATGATTAATTATGATCAGAACCAAGTGCATAAGTCTGGAGAAACAATGTCCACATATATATATGTTTATCCCCCAAAGACAGTGGTCCACAAACAACCATAGATAAATGTAAAGCTAAATCCAAGAGTAACTAAATTGATGCTAAGAAACAAGACAATTTGATGCTCATCAAGCAGCCAACAACACAGAGTAAAAAAAGAAAAGAAGGAAAAATGCAGCAAACTTATAGGACTAAGCAATCAAATGAAGTCAACATAATAAAAGAGAAGGTTAGGAAACTCTTAACAAATGCACACCGTAATCAACGCTAGTAGGAGATAAGAATTCGACATGTTCTAAAATATTTCAACCTTATGCCTAGGTCTGGATGCTATTAAGAAATCCAAACGAGTTTAAATAATTAGTTGTTGATAACAAATCCATTACAGGCAGAAAACACTAGAAGATGAACTAAGAATCGACAAACTTCAACATTCAAAGAATCACAAGAAAAATGAACACCAATCCAAAGGAAAGGAACGAAGCACTAAATATGCATATCCATCCTTCAGCGAACCAGACAACAAACATGATTTTGATCCAGACTGAGAAGTCTAAGTTAAACGTAGAAGCAGAAGAAATGCAGAACAACTAGAGGTTAAACGAGCAGAGCTATGAGGAGAGGTTTTTACCTTCTTCCATGCAGCGAATTGGGCGAAACGAGCTAACCACGAAGATGATTCCTCCACCAAAATGAGATTATGAGGCAATAGAGAGAACGTCGAGTTCGAAACCGAAACCAAAACTTGAGGATTCCCCTAGCTCACTCGTCTATTTCGGGCCTATTTTTTATCTTAAAACCTTTGTATTTTTTCTTTCTATGATGTATCTAATTTCTGAATATCAACTCCATTTTTTCTCACCCTTCCTACTGAAAGAGAAAACAACTTATATCGGGAAGGAATAGGGGTGAAAATGGGGGAAATCGAGAGAGATTTGGATGATTTCAAATTCAAAATTTGAATTCTTTCTGATAAGGTTGCCAGCAAGCTCAAATTTGTACCAAATTGTACAATTCTCAATGGAAAAAGAAAGACAATTGATCGATTTTGATAAAAGGATGGTCGAGCAACACAATTTTGACACCTAGATCGATTCTTCATACGGAGGATAAGGGATAGACGAGAGACGACGCACATTGCTCACGTTGGGCTGTTGTACTCGTGTTCTAGTTTGCGTCTGGAGCTGGACGCAATTTTCTTGATGGGTTTCGCGATGGAGAAGACGAAGTCGGGGCGGTGGGGTACTTTTTGGGTCGTTTGGTCGCTGTATGTATTTTTGGGTTGGGTATTATATTGATGTTAGGCTGGGTTACTGATAGGAAATGGGAGTGGGCTTGGCTGGATTTTATGAAGTTGGGCCCAAAAGAAAGGCTGGAAAAAAATGGGTTTAAAGGGGCCGAGGAAATTGGCCAAAATTGCCATTAATAGCCAATTGAAGTTAAGTGCTCAGCCAAATTGATCAAAGTTTGACTAATAATTAAGTAAGATGAATTACTATGATTAATTAGTGAGCTTCTTAATCTTAACGAAATAAAATAATTAACTTAATTGTAAACTAATGATTCAAAATTATAACCATAATTTAAACTAAAGTAATTTAATAAAATACTTACTAAAATTAAAATCATTTTGAGATGATTTTTGAATGTTTATAAATATACTAATTATATACAAAATTATATAAAACATATATATTATTTAAAATTATATAAATTATAAAATTGATTAAAAATAACTTGAACTTTATAAAAACTAATTATATCAAATCATCTGGAATTTAAGAAGTTAGGTGATTAATCGTATTGTGGAGGTCCAAAATTGGGCGTCAACAATTGATATATAGATTATACCATAGCTTATACTCATATTATTAGTTGTACAATAGTTGGCTTAATCCATTAAATTGGGACAATTTTAACGTATTCAAGCCTTAATCTATTTTAAAAAGATCTTCAATTAAGCCCAATTTTTCCTTCAATTCAATTTGTTTTAAGGCTCTTTATTTGCATTAGTGTTGTAATATATTTTCTCATATTAAATGTATGAATTACTATCTATTTTATATATCCTAAGATTTATTTATCAATTCTTTCTATTTGTAAAATAAAATTTTGCTTTTCTAGGATTGAAAATGATAGAACGAAATAATACTGTATTTTTTTCTTCATAAAATACATATTGAGTGGGTCATCTTAAATATATGTTTATTTGGTACGTATAATGTTTTGGTGACTTTCCACTTTAAAATTAAGAACTTATTTTTTTATTGTCTTGAGTTGAAATTCAAATAAATTGTTTGCAAAAGGTAACTAACAATATGTTAAATTTTTTTTTTTGGGATTTTTAGATTAAGATGGTCAAAACATGCCATGATCCAACTTGATTATTAGCCCGTTTAAGTCCAAATCATTTTAGTCTAAATCAAAATTTTGACGGATTATGACACAATCCAATTTCTGATTTAGCCATTTTAATCTCTCTAGCTTTAGTCTAACTCGTCCATTTGATACCTCTACGTATGGCATGTTGGATGATGACATGTGTAAAGAAAGGGCAACAATATTACACTGGTTGCAGATAATACATTTCACTTCATAGGAATATAACTGAACCAAGGCTTGAGCGCTCAGAGGCAGAATCATCAAGAGACACTAGCCATTATGAAACAGCCTCGGAGACAATGCCAGACATTATTATTTTTACTCTTAAATTAATCATTTAACATGAATTAAAAAGATTTATTTACAGTTTTACTTGTCTGCATATTGCATTATCTATATCAATTTAATCCATGTGTTCTTTAAATTTTATGTATAAATTCAACTGTGCCTTTTCTTTTTTTGGGAAAAACAAATAATTTGATGAAATAACACACATCATAATTTTAATATATGTATTCGTATTCAGAGGCGGATCCACTCTTATAGGTGGGGTGTACGTGTATCCGTTAACTTAAGAAAAAATCATGTGTATATATGTATATTTTGTTGGAATATATACTATTAACCATATGTTAAGATATATTATTTATTATAGAATAAATATTTATTCGGTTTTAATAGATCATACATTCGTTTATGGTGTCCGTTTACTTATATAGTAGATGATTTAGTGTATAGAATTTTAGCTTATACACAAAGGATTAAATCATCGATTCTTATAAGTATAAATTTTTTGTTCACAATCTAGGATGAAAATTGGACATGTCATCGGCAGTGGCGGACCCAGAATTTTCGTTCAGGGGGTTCGAAAAATAAAAGTATATACGTGTATATAAGCCAACAAAACAAAATTTCAAGGAAGTAGTAGTATATAGTTTTAGTGGCGGACCCTTGAATTTTTTTGGGTTTAAAACCACACTTTTAGCATGTTTTATAAAATAAAAAGGAAAAATGCATAAGTACCCCCCCAGCCTATGCCCGAAATCCCAGAGACACACCTAACCTTTACTAAGGTCCTATTACCCCCCCCCCCCCCCCCCCGAACTTATATTTTTATTAATTTTTACCACTTTTTGACCTACGTGGCTGAGTCCGTGACTTCACCTATGTTAGGCGCATGGGTGCAATTTTTAGACAACACTGACCAATAAAAATTGGCCACGTGTTAAAATAAACTTTATTGTTGTTTATTGTTCTTCATCTTTAACTAAGTTTTCTTCTTCTTTATTGTTCTTCATCTTTAGAAAAAAAAACCTCCATTATCATTATCATTCAAGTTAAATTTCTTCTTGCTTCGAAAAGGTAAAGTAAAATTTTAATATATTCTTTATATTTACACCTTTTTATTTCAATTGTTTGTTCTGATTTTAAATTTCTTTCACATTTTTTATGTATAAATGTTAGGGTTATGACAAAATCCGAGTTGAATAAGTTGTGTATGGATGAGAATGATTCAATGATCAATGCGGAAGTGCGATGCAAGCATGGAATCTTATTGCAAATGCAGACGTCTTGGTCAGATCGCAATCCCGGAAGACGATTTTGGTCTTGTCCTCACTATGAGGCAACAAACTGTAATTTTTTTAGATGGAGAGACAAGGAGAGAGTCGATGAAAGATCTCGGTTTATTCTTCCAAAATTGGTGAATAGGATTAAGGAGTTAGAAGAAAAATCTAAGCGTGTGAAGATGCAATTGGAACAGCTTGATAATTCCAACATTGAACAGTCAAAACAAGAAAAAATTCCTTTGGATGAAGGTGAAAGTCTTCGAAATCGTTATGAAAATCTCAACATCAATTCAAAGGAGAAGGGTCGTGCTGTAAAAGAAATGGGTGATTTGAAAGAGAAGAAAATGAAAGGGATGAAAATGAAGAAAAATGATGAAGGTTGTCGTTGTTTTGGGAAATTCCTTTGTTGTTTGATGATTTTTTTTGTTGTTATATTTGTTAGCTTTCTAACCCAAGTTGGTAGGTTGAAGGATCAAATGAAATTGCCATAATTTTGTGTGGTATTGAAACCTTTATTTGCTCTACCGTAATGAAAATTTGAATTTGTTTGTGTTTGAAAATGTCTTAATTCTCTATTTGCCATGATTTATTTGTGTTTGAAATTGTAAAATGAAGTAAATCAAAAGGTATTAATCACAGTACCTATTCTCCCAACAAAGCTACACAGAAATAACACAACATATTGCATAAGTACCCAAAATTGCAGTACCTATTCTTGCAAATAAAAATGAAAGCTTCACATAAATAATACAAGTCACATTGCATAAGTGCCCAGAATTTCCTTACTTAAGAGCAAATTTTTAGTACAAAGTTGATTTCTAATTTGCAAAAAAACATTTATTATATTAGTAAATTGATTAAACTTTAAAAGTAAGTGACAAAATAGTAATGTACCTTTGGTCTTCCCCTTCCCCTTCCCTTTCTTGAGCTTGATGGTTCTTCAACATTTGAAGTAGGGGTAGCTCTATGTTCCTCGGCAATAGAACCAACTCCATCACTCCTTCGTAAATGACAACTTCTTTTGTTGTGACCTTTAAGATGGAAAAGACTACATGTCATAGTTAGTCCAGTTTTAGACAGCTTACCAGACACCTTAGTTTCACCAGCCTCTTTCCTTCTTAGCTTTCTAGGCCTGCCTGACATTTTTTTAATCACTGGTGGAGCAACTAGAGGATTTCTTGATTCTGGCCACATTGGCATGTTATTCATAGGTTGTATGAAATGTGAGTAAGTCATCAAATACCTCTCTTTAGAGTAGCATGGATGAATGAAATCATGTGGATCATACTGTCTATGCAACATTGCAGCTAAGGCGTGTGCACATGGTATTCCCTTCAACATCCAAGATCTACAACTACACTCTCTCTTTCTCAAACATACAGTGTGTTGTTTGTATCCATCTAAAGCCTCATATCCAGTTACTCCATTAAACTCAATGTTACATGCCATTGACTTATCAATATTTTTTTCTAATACTTTCATTGCCATTGGAGAGAAGTTGGTTATCCAAGAGTTTGGAAATTCACTTAACCTAGCTAACCTAGCTAACCTAGTCATGACCTTAATCCTTATCTCTTCAAGCATACTAATAATGGTTTTATGCCTTGCAGACAAAATCCAAGCATTCAAGCTCTCACACATATTATTATCTATTGCATCAGACTTGACTTCACAATTAAAATACACTTTGCACCAATATTCTTTATCATAGTAAATTAGATCATCCATTATACCCGTACCTAGTTTAGACAGCTCTTCCATATTTTCTCTGAATTCAGCTTCAAAGTACTTCTAGCACACTTCCAGAACAGCTTCTTCCTTTGCAGCCCTTTCCAATTCTGTGACCAATTTGCTAGTATATGCCTAGCACACCTTCTTTCCTCACAAGCTGGCAACAACTTCTTAATAGCTAAATTCAGTCCCTACAAGTTACAACAAACATTAAATAATTAAGTTGAAAAAATAGTAAACCAACAGAGAAATAAAAACAAGTTTACCTTTTGCATGTTTGACATAATGGTGAAATTTGTTCCATCTCCTAATCCCAAATCTTCTTGCAACAGAGAAATAAACCAACTCCAACTGTTTGTGTTCTCATTTTCAACTACAGCCCAAGCAAGTGGAAGCATTTGATTATTGCCATCTTTGGCCACTGCAATAAGTAATTGACCCCTGCATACCCCCTTCAAGAAACAACCATCCAGACCAATGCATTTTCTAGCTGACATGAATGCCATCTTGAGTGCAGCAAAATAGATGTAAAATGCCTCAAATGCTACCCTACCATATTCATTAGCTTCACCAAGCTTCACCACACAAGTACTCCCAGGATTAGACCTTAACAACTCATCCTTATAATCAAGAATTCTCCCAAACTCCTTAACATTATCACCCATAATTTCATTCAAAATTTTAGCTCTTGCTCTTCTAGCTGTGGTCTTACCAACATGCACACTATACTTCTTCCTGATTAACTTTTGTAACTTGAACACTCTGATATTTGGTTGTTCAATCACTTTATCTTTAAAAACACTAGCAATGAATTTAGAGTTGCACATGTAATTTCTAGAAGCCTTTTGACATAAATGTATTAGCATGTAAGTCTTAATAACAAAGTTGTTAGTCTTCCTGTCCAAACTTGCATATAACAACCATTTGCAATTTACCTTGTAACATCTCATCCTTACTCTAGTTGGCTCATTCACACACTTTTCAATCTGAACCCTTCTCTGAATTGCATACTTAGTGACTGTCAATCTAAACTCTTTTACACTTTCAAAAACCATACCCAATTGCCACACAATCTTCTTACTGTTGGGATAAAATTTGACATTGTCTGTGGTATGTTTTTTCCTTTTTGTGTTAGGCAGTTCAACCTCATTTTTTCACCTTCTTCAAGACAATTATCATCTGTGTAAGTTTCAAAACAACAAGCATCAGAACTTGCATAATATGGTTCATCACCCCCTAGCCTTCCTTCTAAAGTATTTGTATTGATAGCAGTCTCATCAAACCCAAGATCTGCTCCAGCATTACCACATGGTACTTCTTCAGTATCTGCAGAAATTCTCTCCCTTCTTTTCCTTCTCCTCAGAAAGGATCTTTTTTCAGCCCTCAGTTGAATCAGCTCCTCATGAACATCACTTCCATATTGATCATCTTCAAGTAGTTCACTATCTTCAGAATCATCACTCTCTTCAGTTGACTCATCAGATTCTTTTACAGAGTATTCACTATCTTCAGAATCTGATGGATCAGTATTTGGAGCTGTTGGGTTTGATGTAGAAGGAATATTTGAGGTAGTATTTAGAGATACATCTACCCCATTAAAAGCAGCCTCACCTACTACATTATATTCAATGTTTTCACTAGCCCTATTTTTAGTGGTCCCAACTTTATTAAAAGTTGCACCAGATTCCTCTTCAGGCATGTGGACATATACTTCCAAAACAACCCCATTTTGCAAACAATTACACATTGCTAAGAGAATATCATCATTGTCAATATCTCCTAAGATGCAACTGTTAGGTGGCCGAATACTAAATTTGCAATTTGGGCTATACCCTAGTTCTTTAATTTAGTCTTTAATCTCAAAATATGATATTGTATCCACATCAACATCAACATATTCACTCACTAATCCACCCACATATCTTGCTTCCTCACCTTCATACAATATGGCCCCACCATGATACAACTTTAAAGTAATGAATGTAAATCCACTCATACCTATATGCATAAACATTAACAATAATTAAGTACAAGTTACTAATAAACTACAATAATTGATTAAAGAAACACACACACACCCCCAAACAAATATAAAAACAATTCAAGTTAAAGCCAGTAGTTATTGGATTTTTTTAATGTAACTATAACCCTACACATACAGAACACACATACCCCACAGACACAACACAATACTCGACATATCTTTGTCTTCTTAGAATTAGGCCTGTAACCCCACACAAACACGACACAACACAACACCCAACATATCTTTTTCTTCTTAGGATAAGGTTATTTATCTGTAACCCCACACAGACACAACACAAGACCCAACATGAAGTTATTTTACCGTAACCCCACAATACAATACAACACAACACCCAACTTGTCTTTGTCTTCTTGTATGTTTAAAAAGAGAACAGAACTCAAACAAATATAATACCACCCAACTAACCCACACTGAAAAATACTTTAGAACATACCATAACAACACATGTGACAATAAGAATATATGAATAACAAGTTACATACGAAGTTTGATATCTAACAGTACCATAACATAAACCCTAATAAATAAGCATAAAGTTACATTTCACTCAAAGATCGAAACCAATATTTAACAACATATCATGAACCCTACGAAATTTAAGTATAACAACAACAAAAAAAACAAAAAAAAATCAAGAAAAAACTAACCTTTGAACTCAATCACGATTCTTGATGACTTAGAAGAATGAAATCGACCCACAGATGCACGACTGAAATCGATCCACACATGCACGACTGAAATCGAACACTAAGTACTAAAATCCAACATAGAAAATCAATTAAGAGTATGTAAATCGAATTTCTGAAATTAATTTTTTGAAGATAATGCTCTTTCCCTTGTTTCTTTCTCTTCCTTTTTGGTTGAGTTAACTTGAAAGTGATAGTTTTACTTTTGGGAAAGTTGAAAAAGTGATAGTTTTTTTGAATTTTTGGGAAGTGTAAGAGTTGTTTTGAACTGATAGCTTATACTTTTTAGAAAGTTGAAAAAGTGGGCCCAACACGTGTTGAACAAAGCTTTCAACCTATCTGATTTATATTGCCACGTAGGCCAAAAAGTGGTAAAAAATTAATAAAAAAATAAGTTCGGGGGGTAATAGGACTTTAGTAAAGGTTAGGTGTGTCTCTAGGATTTCGGGCATAGGCTGGGGGGTACTTATGCATTTTCCCAAATAAAAAACTAAAAAAAAAAGAAGTGAAAAACAGAACTGAAACAAAAAAAAAAACTAAAACTGATAAAGAAAAGAAAAAAATAATACGCTAACGTAGGGATTCGAACCCTCGACGTGAAGACTAATTTCCAGGGAAATTGCATCTGGGCTATCTGCTTCTCTTTGTCATTGAGGGGTTCAAAATATATATATCCACATAAATACAGAAGATTACCTTATATATACTGTGTAATTGTTTGCCGAGGAGGTTCGGGTGAACCCTTTGGAATCCACGTGGGTCTGCCCTTGATCACCGGTACGATTGTAGCACAAGATTATATGTAATTTATCTTGATTATGGGAACATTATAGATCCAACTTCTTGCGCTAGTGCATTTTGTATGTATTGAATGATACCGAGTAGAGATAGTTGTTTTATACTGGCTGACAAAAACATATTCTCTAAACTATTAAATGTACTTATATTCTTAATCCTGATATAATTATTATGATCTGTATAGATTAATTATCGTTTTGATTTATTAAAAGGTGAGATTCTGAGATGAATTAATATGTGTGGTAGATTGGATGATAATAATGTATATTGGTGAAATAATAAGTTAGTTGATGGAATCCATGTCTCGTTATAGAGATTGATTGATATGCCTTTTTGAGAAACTTATAAGTTTTCATCGTGTCAAACCTTGCTAGTGGATTTATGAATCTGACACATGAAATAAGTTAAGTAGTGCTCTAAAGGAAATTAATCATTGAATTAAATTCATCAGTAATTTAATTTATTAATTAATATATGTAATCTTAACATGGGGAACTACATAAGTGTTTAATGGGGAATTACGAAATATAAATAGAGTGTAATTACGAATTTCTAGTGGAATGATTTGTAATTTATTATGGTAAGAATAATTTAAATTAATTGTTTGGAATTATTTCCATAATAGGAAGCCTCAGTAATTAATTTTGTGGTCCCTACAGTGCCCATATTTAACTAGAACTCAGAATCCTATTTCTAAGAAAAAAGAAGAGGAAGAACGTTGGCTTTGGTAAAATAAAAACTAACGTGTGTTTTTCTTGTTTTCAAGAAAATATGGGTTTTTTTCTCCTTTTTGGGCTGGAAAGAAATCTCTATTAGTAGGGTTTCTTCTAATCTAGAAAAGATTAAAGGTTTCTATTCAATACTTGTCCACCCAAGTATTGAGAGAGTTCGGATGTGAACTTGGGATCATTGTAGAAAACTGCAAAGTTGCTTCCGTTGTGCATATAGTTTTCCTACATATCTATCTTGAGAAACTGACAGAAATTAGGATGTAATTAACAACGGATCCATGAGGAGCATATAATTGCCATAATGCTGCTCGTACAAACCTGAGTTTGAATCTAGCTAGCTAGAGCCCTATTTTATTATTTTTATTCAGTTTATCTAAGAGCTCATATTTGAGCTTAGATAATATTAGTGCACTCGAGTCTTCTAATCCTGAATTCACTTTTATTCATATTCAGATGTTTTAATCTTATAAATAAATAAAAGAGGTCTAAATGTCCTTTTAATACGTCACTAACTCATTGTTACTACAAATATTAAGAACTTGTTTGATAATGAGAATTTCCAAAACAAGACTTACAATGAAAATTCCAAATTCAGATACAAATGTTTCACTTTATTAAAAAGAAAAACATTTGGCCTATGAAACTTTCAAATACAACATGAAGTTCGTATTCAAAATTGAAAAACACACGAACACTTTCTTTCACTTTTACTATATTTTTCTTTTTTAAATTTTGCCCTCTTTTTTATAAAAATAACCTCATTTTGTTTTTTTAAAAGGAAAAGCACACTCTAACAACCAAATATTTTTTGTAAAAATTATAACCAAACACAACTTTAAATTCAAAAAAGTGAAATAATTTGAACAAATATTGGCAACAGTATATAATAGTTGGTATATGAAATCTAATCTATGATAGGGTGTACATGGCCGGGTTGGTTCGGGTTTTTCAAATATCAAACCAAACCATTTGTGTCGGATTTTTGAATTTATAAACCAAATCAAACCAATAAAATTTGAGTTTTTCAACCTCGAGTTTTTTTCGGATTTTTCAAATTTTCGGGTTTTTTCCGGTAAAGTATTCATACAAACATATAATTTACTTGTATTTCAAATATTTCATTAGTCCTACCAAAATACAACTATCTAAGGTGTTTCTTAAGAAAATAACACAAAATATGATATGATTAATGACACTAAAATATCCAACAAAAAGATAATAATGAAATCGTGTAAAACAAATATTGCAAATTAATAAGTAATAATGACAATGATCATAATTTAAAAGTACTAAATCATGCTAAAATAAGTTTAATAAGTATTAGTTACATGACTAAATATTAAAGGAAATTAAAATTAGATTATGTATTTTAATTGTCTAAACCTATGTAAAACTAAAGAACAAATATTCAATATTATTGTCATTCTTAGTGTTAGGGGTGTGCATCGGTCGGTTCGGTTCGGTTCGGTTTAATATATTATTGGTTCGGTTTATAAATATGTTAAACCAATAACCAAATCAATAAAATATTTTTTATCGGTTTTGGTCCTTAACAGTTCGGTTTTCGGTTTAACGTATAAGAAAATACTTATAAAATAAATATATGACTTTTCTAATAAATTTTATGCAAAAACACAATAATGTAACTTTACAAATGCTCATAAAATAGAAAAAATAATAACAAACATGAAAAGAACTATACAACTGTAACACAAAGAGAAATTAAGAAGAATAGGGTTCTTACTTTAGATTTTAACGTTTTGTATAATGTGAAATTGTGAACTCAAAGTCACTGTAAGGTGTGAATTGAAGGCTAAAGGACAAAGATAGTAGCTAGTAAGATATTGAGATTAATATATAATATTTATGTACAAGTAAAAATAGTAAATTACTAGTATTAATGGGTTATCGATTTACCCAATAACTCAATATTAAAGACCAATACCAAACCGATAACCCAATAATTTTTTTTATAAAATCATTAAAAAACCGTTAACCCAATAACAATAAACCAATAACACTTTTATCGGTTCGGTTTTTGCACACCCCTACTTAGTGTTGAATTGATTTTCTTTTTGCATTAGTATTAATTTGATTTTGATTTAAGCTTTATTATAATTACCAACATCTATGGACTATAATCTTTATTGAACCATTAAGAATTCTAACTTTCAAACATGAAATAATATATTAAAAGATAAAAGCTATGAAAAAGTATAAGAAATATTTAAAAATTATAATAAAGTAAATATTTTTACGTATAAAATAAAATTTTAAAATTATATATATAATGTCGGGTTGATTTGGTCTCGGATTGTTTTTTTTAGTTGAAATTAAACCAACTCAAATATAGTCGGGTTTTTTTTTAATTTCAATACCAAATCAAGTCAAACCAAACCACTAATCGGATTTTTTTTTTTCGATTTGACTCGATTTGTGATTTGGTTCGATTTTGTACACCCCAAATTATGACTATCTATTTGAGAAATATTACTATTTTAGAGCAAATTTGATTTATCAAACACAACTCCAACTTCAAATATTCCAAATAAAAGAAAACAGAACGTCCACGTAAAGTACTTTAAAATCATAAAATTGTCAAATCCTGGTAACATAATAATCAGCTCTTTTTTATCTTGCTATATAAGTTTGTTAAATTTCATTGTCCAAAAGTATTGCAGTTGAGACAGAGACAAGCATTGTATCGATAATGAAGGAAATTAATGATATTTGGTACTATATTCGTTCACTTTTAATTGTCATAGTTTTTTTTTTTTTGGATTCAAACGATAATAATTTTGACTAATATTTTAGATGTATTTTTTCATCATATTGATATGCGAAAAATTAGAATGTATAGTACTTTTCGTATAGTTTTTGAATATCTAAATTTTTTGTTTGAAATATCGAATTAATATAATCTAATTTAACTTAAAAAATTAATTAAATAGACTTTCGAAAAACGTAACGTGACAATTAAAAGTTGACAAAAGGAAGTATTTAATCTTGACTTATCCTCACCATTTCATTTTTTGTCAATATATACTTCTTGTGATTTTTCTATTTTTCATTTCTCTGTCAAAGAAGAAAATAATGAAAAAAAATATAAATTAAAAATGGAGAAATTTTGTTTTTGATACATTGAAAAATGCTAAATAAACTCCATATTTATGAATCTTCAACTTGTTTTTGTTCTTGTTCGACAATAAATCTGCATATTAATATGCCTCCCTTCAAGTATTTAGGCATAATATATAAATGTGTACTTTAACTTGATCTTATTTCACTTTATGTCTTTTATCTTTGGGTGCGCACAAATAAATATTTAAATCTGTATAAAATTGAATAAGTAGACACAAGAATTCTACGTGACATAATATATGTAGCCATCACTTAGGACACAAATTGCCACATAAAATTTATATGTCTATTTATTTAATTTTATATAAATTTAATTGTATGCGTGCACATCAAAATTAGAGGACGGTCCGTACTGCAGGTCCGTAGATTGCGTCAGAGATTTTCCCCATAATTCATTTAAGAAAAAGACTAAGTGTTGACCTACGGTCCTGACTTACGGTCCGTAGGTCAGGCCACGGACCGTAGGTCGTGACCGTAGATCGATGCCCCAAAAACCAACTTCTGTTCCGATTGACGGTTGACCAGTACGGACCGTTGATCGATCTACGGTCCGTAGGTCAGTCCCGTAGACGGGGATCGACAGCCCAGAAATTTCTGCAAATCGATGGTGGATCAACCTTTAAAGGGTCATAGCTTTTAGAATCATATGCTGAGGTCAAATTAATAAATATATTTATGTATTATACCTAATGGTGAGGTGGTTGATAATGATTTTGGGATATTAATATTATACTAATAACATAGTTTCACACGTGTGAAATAATATAAAATAAAATAAAAATTAATAAAATAATAATTGCTCATGTGTGAAAGCATTTACCGGCCATTTGTGGTTGTCTTGTAAGTCGTGCCATGCCGATTGACGTTTTTAGCCATTTTACCGAAAGTAAATTTTAAAATATTGTTTTCCTCTTATTTTGTACTCCATTCAAATTTATGTTAGTTTAATTAAGCTTGGAGTTTAAGAACACAAGAAGATTTTGTAATGCTTTAAAATTATTTTAAAAATACATAGATTTTAAATAAAAAAGTAAATATTGGTGAAATTATTTGCCAAATAAATGTAATCCAACATATATAAAATGTTGATAGTATCATTACATATTTATCAAATAAAACATATATCATATAAACTGAGATAAAAAGGGTATATAGATTTAAAGCTATTGTCTTCCTCTTGCTTTATACTATCTCTGTTCCTATTCATATGGACTACTTTTTCTTTAATCAGTCAATAAAAAATTGACATTTTATATTTAGTAATAATTTAATTTTAAATATTTATTTTATCTTTAACAAAATAATTTATAACAACACAATCATTTATAACCTATTTTACGCCATAAATTTTAAAAATCATTTTATTTTTAAAAATTTTTTAATGTCAAAGTTAAATTATACTGTATAAAGACGAAAGACAAATACTAGTAGAATCAAGATGTGAAGCTTATCTGTTAGATTTGGCAATATCTTGACAAAATTGAGGGCATGCCAATATCAAGAAAGTATGAATTGGATCGCCTCGCCCAAATTTCGTCCTCAAATCAAAATCATTTATTAATATAATTTTAAAATATTTATTTTACTTTTAATAAATGATTTATAACGATATAAATTTCTATAATTTATTTTAGTTCATAAATTTTAATTTTTTTTTATAAGTTTTGTATGGAATTAAATTTAAAATTTACTCACATAAAAATGGAACAAAGGGAGTACTATTTATTTCCAACAGGTGTCGTAAGCAGTGCGTTCACATATCTTAGCTTTCATATTATATCAAATTTTTTTCATCACAAAAAGTTCATTTTCGATACAGAAGGAATTCCCCGTCTCTCCACACTGAATTTTTTGCTTATTGATCGGGTAAGTTTATATCTTCTTAATGATAATTAGTATACTTTATTTACAGATTTACTGTACCAGATCAAAGAATTTCATTGCTCATAATATATATGTTAGTTTTTCGATGAATTTTAGCTTTATGCACGATTTTTACTGTGTTTGGTATGAAGGAACATGTTTTCTGGTGAAAAATAAATTCGTAAAAAATATTTTCTTGAAAAATATATGAGGTTCTTACTTATTTTCTTAGTTATTGGCAAGTAAACAAGAAAATATTATCCAAGAATATTTATATGTTATCTCGCATAATATATGGAGGTGTGATGGGATGGGATGGGGAGTGGCAAAGGCGGAGCTAGGTGGGGTTCGTGGGTTCAAACGAACCCAATAATTTTTTTGTAGATCCTATATTTGTACGGAAAAGTTAAATAAATATATATGTATATTAACTTATGAACCCCAAACAAAATTGATTGATAGCCCAATGGTACTAAGGAAGGATTGTACAAATGCTTTCCATGCCACAGTTGTGGGTTTAGCCAAAGTTGTGGGTTCAAACCCACTATCAACTTTTTAAATGAAATTTAGAACTCTCAAACTCCTAATTCGCAGTGTGGGGTGGTGGGTGGACTGAGAGAAGACAATAAATTTGGAATGTTATATGCAACTTGTTTTCCTAGAAAAATATTTTCCAAACATAGGAAAATTGGAAAATATTTTCCTCTGGTAAGAAAAGGTGATCAATGACTGTTAAATTAACTTTCATCTTTTTCTTAAATTTCTAGTGTATGTTATTATACAAAGTTGCATATTTATTTCACTTTCAAGTACCAGACAAGGGAAAAAGACTGTTTGCAGTATTCTGTAATTCCTTTTATCAACAACAACAGAATGTATGCATTCTTACATAGAATTACAGTTAAAATTTGAAGTTTATAGGTTCAGGGATTTTAGTCCTTTGAAGTTTATAGGTTCAGGGATTTTAGTCCTTTTAAGTTACTGTGTTCTAGATTAATATTATGTTCATATTCAATGAATAGTTTTTAATACTAATATATTATTTGGATCAAAGCTACAACTATTTCAATGAGAATTTGTTTCCCACCCTGTATTTTTCCACCCAGTGAGCTGGTTTGATGGAAAATGAGTGGAAAAAAACATGTTTTGTAGCATAAATTTTCCACTAATTCACCGTGGGAAAAATATTTATTTGTAGTAGTGTATTGGGTTTGGTCACATCCGTAGCCAAAACACTAGCTCTGCCCCTTAACAGAAACTAATACTAGACTCTTTTTGCTTAAATTTATGGGTTGTTGATTGGTTGAGGATACTGTTGTCAACAGATATACTTGCATCAAGTGATGTTGTAAAGAGGAAAATATGTTAGGCTGTCCAAATTACCAGTTGCTTTCACTTGTTTTGATCTTACTGTTAACAACGGTTGATCCAAGTTCACAAGAAAGCCGTGTGAAATCTGCTGTCTTTCTATCACCAGCGTTTGTGCTGGAACCTGGATCTGTCTCTAACAAGTTTTACTACAACATTAGCTTCCCAAAAGGCCATATTGCTATAAAAAATTTCTATGCTGAAGTAGTTGATGAGGGAGGGAATCCTGTACCCCTTTATGAGACATATCTTCACCACTGGATTGTTGTAAGATATTATCATCGAAAAGGTGTGGAAGTAACAAAGTTCCATGATGATTTGGGGTTCCACCAATCAGATTTTATTGTCAAGAGAAACTCAGGGATATGTGATAGAGGCCTTCCTCAATATTTTGGCCTTGGGTCAGAGACGCGAAAAACAATCACCTATGTTCCAGACCCTTATGGAATAGAAATCGGTAATCCAGTCGAAGTACCTCCTGGATACGAGGAGAAATGGTTGCTCAATATACATGCAATTGATACACGAGGTGCGGAAGATAGATTGGGATGTACTGAATGCAGGTGTGATCTTTATAATGTTACCAAGGACGAGCATGACCGAGTTATAGAGCCAGATTACATTGGAGGGTTGAGATGTTGTTACGATGAAACAAGATGCAGGGTGAAAGACGGATTCCAAGGATCAAAGAGAAGCCTGTACCTGAAGTACACAGTGAAGTATATTGATTGGGATCCCTCCATCGTGCCTGTAAAAATTTATATACTTGATATAACTGATACATGGAAAAAGCCAGAAAAATCGACTGCCGCTGTGGCAAGACATCACTGCCAGGTGTGAGAGAAAATGATAATTTAGCTCATAACTCAAATCATTTTTAACTCTTTACTAATATTCAGGCAATTTCTTTTACTTCAGATTGAATATTTAGTGGAGTCATGTTCATCAGCTGTTGCAAATGTCGACTGCACTCATACAAAGAAGATAATTGTAACTTTTCCTAGCGGCGGAGATGTTATCTATGGAGTTGCTCATCAACATACAGGAGGGACTGGTATGGCACTCCATGGAGAGGTACTCTGAGCTATTATATTTTGTTTCTTTGGTTATGCTCTGCTTACAATCTGGATTACTTGTATACGTTTCTTATATATTTTAAGTCGATTAACTTATTGATAAAAACAAAGATTTTTGTACAATAAACTTTTTCATTTAATGATACTTGGCTTAGTTGGGTGTCATCTTAACACTGGTTATGTATGCCACGACTTTCAAGACCAGATTGATTGAATCCATATCTAATCTCGTTCTCTTAACATCCGATAAAAGAGAAGTGTTGTTAGTGTTTATTTGACATGATTGTCATACTTCCAAAGATTATTTTGTTGATTCAAACTGTTATGTCCCAGTATGGTAACATTTCAGTTTATCTTCAATTAACTGCAGAAAGCTTGATGTTTTTTTATTATACTGAATGGAGCCTCCTTCCCTTTGAGACAATTATTGTCTGCTTAGTTAATATAGTGGCCCCTCGATGAACTGCATCATTTTATAGGAGATAATATTGTTTCTTGATAGTTAACTGCTTTAGTTTTGTAAGTACATTAGTGTAAGTTCAGTACTTGTGTGGGAATTAAGCTAGTGTATAATGACATGGCTATCGGGTAGTAAAGCAGTCATAATAGTTGTTGCGTGTTTGTATAGCATATTATTCTCAATTGTCATCATGATTAGCTAAGCAGATTTACTTGTTCTGATTTGTGGAGCACCTTGTTCGTTGGTGTTTGGTGTTGGTTATTTCTTAATTTCTTCTTGTCTGTTTCCGCTGCTTTGGTCTAGGATGGACGTGTCATATGCTCATCTCTTCCAATCTATGGGGAAGGAAAGGAACCAGGAAATGAAGCTGGTTACATTGTCGGGATGTCTACTTGTTATCCTAGACCTGGCTCTATCAAGATCTCGGAAGGGGAGACTGTAACTTTACTATCAAACTATAGCAATGCCCAAAGGCATACAGGAGTGATGGGGTTGTTCTATCTCTTAGTTGCTGAACCATCACCGAAGCCTAATTCTATCCTACATTCCACAGATGAAGTAAGATCTTTGACTCATTAAAAGTTTTCGAGATTCAGAGTAGTGAATTTCCTACTTAAGTCTACACAAGATCATATATTTCTGAACTTGTTTCTTCTTCACTATTGCAGACAGGTGAGATTGTAATATTGCAGAATGCTATTGGAGCCTTGGCAGCAGTGTTTGGAATTGCACTACTTGTTGGTGCTGCTGTTATTTATCAACGTCGGAATCAAAGGGATCAGGAAGGCTATGAGTCTATACTGATGTGAGGTTCTTTTCCTTCTGGTGACTCTGGTCCCTAGTGTAGTACACAAAATGCAAGTTATGATCTCCCTTCTATTCGTGGACTAGTTCCTCGACACATGTGTTGCACTTGTATGTCAAGTCATGAATTATACGGTTTTGTAAAATAATATTGATATTATTAAAATAAAACTTCGAGTAAATGATAGTACAAGTGTTTGTGAATGATCTATCTTTGGATCTTTGTATAGTGACATGTTTGTTAATGTTAAGAAGTTGAATAGTTAATTAGCATTTAATTAGATAGATATTATCTAGCAAAAATATTCTTTAACTTATAAGTAGGCTTCCTACTTCTAAAAGTAAATAAGTCCAAATTTAATTTTCAATTTGAATATCTCAAAAGCAAAACAATTTGTTTAGTTGACATCTTATTTTGCAGTGAAATAGCAAGAAAAAATTAATTTATTTCCAAGAGGTTACTGTTGCCTTGAAATAACAAAAAAGAATAATTTATTCCAAAGATGTTACTTTTGCCTTTCTAAGGACAAAACAGATCTTGAATTCAGCTAAAATTATTGAATTAGGATGAAATATAATAATGTCAGAAGCAGATTTAAGGGAAAATTGCACAACAAGGCAAAATGTGATATGTATTTACGATAAAATATTATAATTCGTAGCTATATGTAGGGTTTTATATATTGTATTCAAAAAATTATTTTTTATTTTGTATCAATTGTATTTGTATTTTGTATCAATTGTATTCATGATACAATGAATATAATATGCATTCATCCCCTCTTTCAAATATATTATGTATCAATTATATCCAATCAAAGATAGGTGAAAGATTTGTATTTTATATCAGTTGAGAACTACCATTGTCATGGGATTGCTCTTCATTTATTTCATCACATAAAACTCCTAATTTCTCCTACATTTTTTAGTCTCCACACTGAATTTTTACTAATCTGGTAAGTTTGTATCTTATTAATTTCTTTTTCTAATACAAAATTATTTCTATTCTTCCTATACATAATAAGAAAATGAGTATGTAAAACAATTACACTCACTCTTTTGTATTCAACACGTAAATATGATGTACTATTTCTTAATTTCCTAGTATATGTTAGTATTATACAAAGTTGCATCTATTTATTTGACTTCCAATTACCACAATAATATTTGTAGTATCATATTAATGAATCTTCAGCTAGTTTTTGTTCTTTGTTCAACAAAAAAATTGCCTATTAATTTGCCTCCACCAAACTCCACCCATACTCGCTCCATTGTCATTCCTAACCTTGCCCTACCATGGATTCAACCCACCCTACCTTGCCCCGTTTAGCTCCTCTATTTTTTTTTTCAAGTTTGCAATGGTAATTTAGAAAATAAGAAAAATGTAATCAATGAAGCTTTGTTTCTCCTAAGAAATTAACTAACATGTTCCTAATTACAAAAGTAGAATTTCACGAGAAAATGATCAAAATGGTCCTCAATGTATGAGTAATGATTTTCTTGGTCCTTAATGTATTTCACTTGATTGGAATGATCCTTAATGTATAATAAAGGTGTTCAGTTTTGTCCTTAATATATTTCACTTGATTGCAATGATCCTTAATGTATAACAAAATGTGCTCATTTTGGTTATTAACCCTAAACTTAACAAATTTATCAAAAAAATAATCTTAAATGTAATTGTGGACTCCAGGTGACTAACAAAATTCATCATTGATGTCTTCTTTATTAGCTTCCAAGAAATACTTCATGAAATCTAACATCATTTTCTCCACCTTCTCTAACAATATTTATTATTTTCTCTTGCTAAAAATTGAAATGGGTGTTAGGTTCGTAGAATAATATTATAGAAAAGACAAAATAGTAAATTTTGTTGGAGAAATTAGAGAAAATGGTGTCAGATTTATGGAATTCTTTCTTTGGAGCTAATAAAAAAGACAACAATGTTAAATTTTGTTAGTTACGTAGGGTCTAAAATAAAATTTAACACTTTTTATTTAGATATAGGGTAAAAGACCAAAATGAACAGTTTTTGTCATAGATTAAGGACCATTTCAATAAAATAAAATACATTAAGGGTGTGTTTGGTATGAAGGAAAATGTTTTCCATGGAAAATGTTTTCCTAGAAAATGTTTTCCTGGAAAACAAGTTGATTATTGACTTATTTTCTTATGTTTGTTTGGTGAGTAGAAAATATTTTTCAAAAAAGATTTTTAGTGTTTGATTTATGAATGAAAAAATATTTTTGAGAAATATCTTTTATTTTTACTAGAGTAGAAAATAATTTTTAAAAACAAGCTTAAATTTTTTTTGGGGCGTGGGGGGGTGGTAGGGGGTGGGTGAGGGGGGGGGGTCGAGGGTAGGGGTGAAAAATTGAAAATTTTGAAGTTGAAAATATTTTTTTAAAACAAACTTAATTTTTTTTTGGGGGTGGGGGCTGGTAGGGAGGTGGGTGAGGGGGGGGGGGGTCGAAGTACCTCCTGGATACGAGGAGAAATGGATGCTCAATTTACATGCAATTGATACACGAAGTGCTGAAGATAGGATGGGATGTACTGAATGCAGGTGCGATCTTTATAATGTTACCAAGGACGAGAATTACCGAGATATAGAGCCAAATTATATCGGAGGCTCGAGATGTTGTTACGATGGAACAAGATGCAAGGTGAAAGACGGATTCCAAGGATCAAAGAGAAGCTTGTACCTGAAGTACACAATGAAGTATATTGATTGGGATGCCTCTATTGTGCCTGTAAATATATATTTACTTGATATAACTGATACATGGAAAAATCCAGAAAAATCGAATGCCACTGTGGCAAGACATCACTGCAAGGTATGTGTTGTTGCCATTTTGTTGCTCTCAAGTGTTAGATTAGTTTTATTTTTAGTTTAATCTTCCAATAATGTTGTTATTCGTGATTTGTTTTTGTCATTTTTTTTTACTTTCCAGTGTTATATTATTTTATTTTACGGAAAAGGGTCATATTTACCCATGTACTATCCTAAATAGTTTAAATATGCTCGTCATTATACTTTTGAGCCAAATATACCCTTACCGTTATATTTTGGGCCAAATATACCCCTCATCCGTTAAAACTTTGAATCTCAATCTTAGAATAGACAGATGGAGGGTTGAGATTGATTTGAAGGACCCATATTATTTTGTCCTAGACAACATCTAAAATAACTCATAATCCAACCCAAGCAAGGCTTCTCATATCAACATACAACAATGGAGTAATGTCATATTCATCTAAGTTGATGATTCTCAACATCCGAACACACACGATACTAACAAATCTCAGCAATTAATTGAAATTTTGATGAGTCAAGTGTCAACGGTGAAGAACTGGAGAATTTTGAATTATTTTTTTAAGCTCATTGTCAAATTTATAGAACCTAAAAATGAATTCAGCTGAATCATACTAAGTAAGAGAAAATCTCAGCTTAAAAAAGAATAATCCAAATAATTTTCAATAATCCATTGATTTACAACAACTTCCTATCACAAATTTGAAGGTCAAAGACCCAACAATTTCGTTTCCAACTTCTCCACCCAATGTGTATTATATATTTAGCGCGTCAATCCAAGTCAATCAAATTTGAAGCACCACATCAATTGAACTTTCACAAATTTTAGAATCAAATCCAGACAATTCGTTGAAAGAATTGTGCTTTTGTTTGCTTATTCAATAAGAAAGTTCAATTATAAGAACAATACACACTACACTATTTTTAAAAAAATTGCAGCTTTTTTCCCAATATTTTATATTTTTGATAGGCAAAATAAATGAAAACATTAATTATATAAACCAATTTTCATGTAATGGCGGAAGCTAAATATTTTTTACAAACAACTCGTTGTGCTTTTGTTTGTTTATAAATGGGTTTGGGAAAGAAAGCAGGGGAAGTGGGTGTTGGTTGAGACAAAAAAATATAGGTCTTTCAAATCGATCTCAACCCTCCACCTGTCTATTCTAAGATTGAGATTCAAAGTTTTAACGGATGAGGGGTATATTTGGTCCAAAGTATAACGGTAAGGGTATACATGGTCCAAAAGTATAACGAAGGGAATATTTAAACTATTTTGAATAGTACAAGGGTAAATATGACCTTTTTCCGTTTATTTTATTTTCGTTCTCTATGGACTACAAATTTTAATGTTTGCTTTATTTTTTATTGTTGTTTTATCTTTGTTAGATATTTTATTTTATTTTTTTGTTTAATGTCATAGCACTTCTTTTCAAAAAGAATTTTCCAGTGAATCATTTTTGTTCCCATTTGTTATTGTTAATATGATTTTGTGTTAAAAAAATAAATTTTGGCCAATGAAAACATCTCTCCGTCGGTTTTCGAGGCCTCCCTAATGTTAAAAGACGGAAATTTAGTTTATGTTCATATTCTGTGTATGTTAAAACTGGCCGATGAAGAAATTACTGTCGATTTCCAAGGCCTCCCATGTTAATAAGGTGAATTTTTATTTTTAAGTTATTTGATTTATTTATTTTTGTTCATATATTTAACACTAATATTTTTACAAAGTGTCTTTACAGGTACCCCGGAATCGCTTCCCATTGAAGTCATTCGAATAAAGTTCGAAAACTATATTCATTATTATGTATATTGTTAACGATAGGCAAACATTAGGTTGCTTATCAGATTACTTGTTTACTTTATTACTTGTTTATATCGCATGTTTGTTTTACTTGTATATTATTTTATTTCCTCCTCAATTTAAAAAAAATAAATTCAGTCGGGACCCACATTTGTGGATTTCAAAGGATGCCTAACACTTTCCCTTCGGAATAACTTGAACCCCTTTCCTAGAATCTCTTGGTTTCATAGATCATTTAATTGGTTTCCTAGTTTTTCCTAAAATTAGGTGGCGACTCCTTTTAAAAGTCGTTTATTCTTAAAATTCTTATAAGATTGACTTAATTGATTATTTTTTGAGTCACCACGATGTTTAGCCCTTACTTTAATAGAGTAGGGATGTAAATAGTATATATTAAACAACAAACAATATTATTCATTATTCATTCAAAGAGAGATACTTTCAAGCTTCAAAAACAACAAGGGACCTGATAGAAGTGCTTCTATTGCTTTCTATACTAATTGTAATTTTGTGTGCTTGTAATAGTTCTTATATTGTAGGATTCGTTTCACTTGTGAAAGGAACGTTTCAAACTTGTGTGAATCATTGTAAGAACTAGGTTAAGGGTAACTTAGTTTCTTACTCTAAAAGTCTATATTAATAAGTTAGGATTAGTAGTGTGGAGATTAGCAGGCTAATCTCATTTTGTAAATTGGATTTTACTTTTCCTTGGAGAAGATTAGTGTAAGCAGTTTGAAAAGTCTTGTTGAGAACAAGTTGTGGTTTTACTCCCTTGAGCAAGGAGGTTTTCACGTAAAGTTGATTGTCAATCTTTACTTTCAGCATTTGTTTTTTATTGTTTATTACTGTAACTGTGTTGAGGACCTGGTCCCATCTACATAAGTGGACGCATACATTTCAACAAGTGGTATCAGAGCTTCACTTTCCAGTCTAGTTAACACCAAGAAAAGAAAAGATCCTGAAGGAATGACTGCTCCACCCAATATGGAGGAAGGACAATCGTCTACCAGGCCATCTCGTTTCAATGACCAGTACTATGGATGGTGGAAGAATCAAATGCATGACTATATCAATGCTGAGAACACTAAGTTGTGGGACATTATTCTTGATGGACCTTATATTCATATAAAGGAGTCGAAGGATGGAGAGCTCATCACTACTGTTGTCAAAACTAGAAAGGAGTACAACGAAGCAGATAGGAAGAAGATAGAAAAGAACTACAAGGCAAAAAATATTCTGGTTTATGGCATTGGACCTGATGAATACAACATAATCTTTGCGTGTGAGACTGCCAAGGAAATTTGGGACTGTCTTCAAACTGCTCACGAAGGAACTAAGCGAGTGAAAGAATCTAAAATTGACATGCTTACCACTCATTATGAGAACTTCGTTATGAAGGAGGGTGAAACCATTTTTGAGATGAACTCAAGATTCACCTCTATCACTAACGAGCTCAGGTGTCTGGGTGAGCCTATCCCTGTTAGCAAGCAGGTATGCAAGATTCTTAAGGTGCTTCCTAAATCTTGGGAAAGCAAGGTGGATGCCATAACAACAACTAAAGATCTGATGACTCTTCCCATGGATGAACTAATTGGGAATCTTCAAACTTACGAGCTAAACAAGGATAGGGAACAATGGTGAAAAAAGGAAAGAATGAGAAGTCCATTGCCTTGAGAACTTCTCAAACTAAGGTGACTGAGGATGAGGATGAGATGACGTATGTCACCAGAAGATTTCAGAAGATCAAAAAGAAGCATGGAGGCTTCCAAAGGAAAACCCCTGCTAGCAGAACTGCTACTGCAAATGATCTTTGCCATAAATGTGGCAAGCCTGGTCACTTCATGAGGGACTGCCTCAGTCAAAAGCAGGAAACTCATGACACCAGACCTCGTAAGAGGGACCTAGTCCCAAACAATGCTCGGAGGAAGGCTCATTCTAATCAGTTGGTGAGAAGAGCCTTTGCTGTATGAGGAGATGATTCAAGTGAGTCAGAAGAAGATGCAGTAAGCCATGATGATGTTTCAATGATTGCCATTGAAGATGATGAAAGAACCACTGAAAACTTAATGCTAAATGAAAAATTAAGTTTGTGTGAGGATGAAAATTCAGCTCTCATGTCTCAAGTCTCTAAAATGAGTGTAATGATAGGTACTCTAGAAACTAGCAACATAACTCCTGAGGAGAATCCTGGTACATTAGTGGGTGGAAAGAGAAAACTTAGCATCTTTGAGGAAGAATTGGAAGAAAAGCTTAAAATTTATGAGTCTAAGCTTGTTGCTTCTCTTGAAACTAATTCCCAACTGAGAAAGGATCTGAGTAGAGTCAAGGAGGAACTAAGCCACTTTCTAAAATGGACTGATTCCTCTAAGATACTCTCTAACCTGTCTAATTATAGTTTCAATGAAAAGAAAGGGTTGGGATGCAGACCAATAGAACCTCTTTATAATCTCCATAGCAAGTATGTGTCTGTATCTGACAATCTGTTGTGCAATCACTGTGGGTGTAATGGTCATCTAAAAGAAAAGTGTGAGACTTTGAGAAGAGCAAAAGAAAAGCATGTGAAATTTGTCAGATTTGAAAATAATGATAAAAGGGAACAAAAGGGACATGGTCCTCGTTATCATTTCAGCAAAAACACTTTCCCTCCTTGGACATGAAGGCTTCTTATCAAGCCTTTTCATAGTTATTGGGAATTCCGTTTGAAGTGGGGTCCTAAATCTAACAAGTGACTCTTATGTAGAAAAGAGGAAAGAGTCATGGCCGGTACATGGACAGTGGATGCTCAAGGCACATGACTGGAGATACGTCAAACTTCCTCTCTTTGAAAGCACAATATGGTGGTGGTGTGTCATTTGGTAGTGGAAAGAAGGGTTCTATTCTAGTTATTGGCAGGATAGGGAGATCTGCTGATAATTCG